ACCTCTGCCTCCCGGGTTCAAGCAATTCTCTGGTCTCAGCCTCACAAGTAGCTGGGACTATAGGCGCATGCCTCCATCTCCATGCCTGGCTAATTTTTGTACCTTTTTTTTTTTTTTTTTTAAAGAGTCTTGCTCTGTCGCCCAGGCTAGAATACAGTGGTGCGATCTCAGCACACTGCAGCCTCTGCCTCCCTGGTTCTCCCTGGTTCAAGTGATTCTCCTGCCTCAGCCTTCTAAGTAGCTGGGACTACAGGCATCCACCACCACGCCCAGCTAATTTTTTGTATTTTTAGTAGAGATGGGGTTTCACCATGTCAGCCAGGATGGTCTTCATCTCCTGACCTCATGATCTGCCTGCCTCAGCCTCCCAAAGTGCTGGGATTACAAGTGTGAGCTACCATGCCCGGCCTAATTTTTGTACTTTTAGTAGAGATGGGGTTTCACCACATTGGTCAGGCTGGTCTCAAACTCCTGACCTCAGGTGATCTGCCCATCGCGGCCTCCCAAAGTGCTGGGATTACAGCTGTGAGCCACCATGCCCGGCCCAATGCCCACTTACATGCTGGTGTCTGCTCCCACCATTGCAAGTCTCTACTCATCAGGCTTTTTACCTGCTAGACTGTGCTGACTGTAACAGTATGTGTGTGGAGAAGTGACCACAATGTGCTCACAGAAGAGGAGCTGTCTCCTACATTCGGTGGTCTGGCAACACAGATTCTGATTCTCCTCATCCTGTGCAGCTTCATGCCTTTAACTCTTACTCTGTCTTCTTTGCCTAACTTAGCTGTTACCTCCTCCAAGAAGTCTTTATTAATCCCTTTCCCTCATTAAAGGACTCCTGTTTCCCCATGGTACCTTGTGAATATCTTATCTTAGCAGTTGTCATGTGGGGAAATGATCTGTTTATTCATTTATCTTCTTTACCAGCATATATCAGGGACTGGCACATACAAGTTGTTCAGTAAATAGTTCTCAAATGCTGAGTACAGCACCTGCTACATTACCTTGACACTCAAGCCTGCTGCCCTAACTGTCCCTTCCTCTCCCTACTCATCATCCATGTGGGAGACGGACACTTCAGCTGCCGGGGTGCTCCAGCTGGGACAGGCTCTGGTACAGCCCCAGCAGTGCTGCCATCTTGGTAAACATTTCCCACCATGACCAGACTACTCACATTGCTTCTCAGGAAATTCCAACCCCCTGAGGGACATCCGGACTGAGGAATGATCCTTTGCTGGGCTGCTCTAGGGCAAGCATTGGGCCAACTTGCTCCAAGGGCCCTTCTCCAAACTACTTGGTGGGTGCTCCCTTGTCTAGCTGGGCAAGGAACCACAATTCTCAGAGTCTGTGCTGGGAATTGTCCCATTGGCTGTGTTTGTATTAAACATTATTAGTTTGTTAAATACTTTTTAGTTCCATTTAGTCTCTTTGAGCATCTATAGATATAACAGGGTCTAGCAGTTATAGGAAAGTCCCTCCTCTAAACTGGAAGCCTGGAACCATAGAAGGACTCAGTAAAAATTGTTGAATGAAGTCCCTGAGAAGTGGGCACTGAGCAGAATAAATACCAAGGGAGGAAGAGAAAAAGACATTCCAAGCGCAGGGAATAAAGGCAGGGGAATGTCGCCTCCACTTCAGAGTGCTCTAGGAAACTGTTCTGATTAATCAGGGTCTATCAATCAACTTGTTTTTCTCTGAGTCTCTATGACACTGGCATTTCAGTTTTTTGTTTTCATTTTTTTTCCCAGAGACAAGGTCTTACTCTGTAACCCTGGCTGGAGCGCAGTGATCAGAGCTCACTACAGCCTCCTGGGCTCAAGTGATCCTCCTGCCTGAGCCTCCCAAGTAGTTGGGACAACCAATTTCTTTGCAAGTAATAACAGACCAGACACACAGCTACCAAAAATCAGTGGTAAGTAATGGTTAGTCCCTAGACTGTGGATTCTAGAGCCAGATGAGAAACAGATTTGAATCCTAGCACCACCGCAGTGGGGGTGGGCAAGTGACTGCTTCTCCATGCCTTGATTTCTAAAACAGAGTTAGAGCCAGGCATGGAGGCTGGTGCCTGTAGTCCCAGGTACTTGGGAGGCTGAGGATGGAGGATTGCTTGAGCCAAGGAGTTTGAAGCTCCATTAGTCAAGCTATGATCATGCCACTGCACTCTCATCTGAACAACAGAGTGAGACCCCATCTCTTAAAAAAAAAAAGGTAAAAACAGTGTCTACCTTATATATAGTACCTACCTCATATGTGTTGTGAGGATTAAATGAGCTAATATACATAGCAAATACTCAGTAAATGTTACCTATTCTCCCCTTACTGTGTAGGAAATCTTCCTTTATCCCTACCATGCCTCAGATATCCCTGTTCCCTGACACCTTGAGGATATTTTATCATAACATATTAACTCATTGATATTATCTGATATATCTGATATTAACTGATATTATTGTTTATCATTCTCACCCACTGCACTCAAAGATTGTTCACACATATTTGTTAAGTTATAATAGGGATCAAGAGAGACACAGTATATACCCCAAATAATTGAAAACAGGTACTCAAATACAAATATATATTCATAGCAGCACTACTTGGAATAGCCAAGAAGTGGAAGGAGCCCTGCTGTTCATCAGTAGATAAATGGACAGCTAAATGGTAGCTCATGCCTTTATCCTAGCACTCAGGGATACCAAGACAGGAGGATCACTTGAGCTAAGGAGTTTGAGACCAGCCTGGGCAATATAGTAAGATACTCTCTTTTTTTGTTTGTTTGTTTGAGATGGAATCTCACTCTGTCACCCAGGCTGGAATGCAGTGGCATGATTTGGGCTCACAGCAACCTCCTGGGTTCAAGCAATTCTCCTGTTTCAGCCTCCCTAGTAGCTGGGACTATAGGCACATGCCACCACACCTGGCTAATTTTTGTATTTTTAGAAGAGACGGGGTTTCACCATATTGGTCAGGCTGGTCTCGAACTCCCGACTTCAGGTGATCCGCCTGCCTCGGCCTCCTAAAGTGCTAGGATTACAGGCATGAGTCACTTTTTAATTATTTATTTACAAATAAGACATATAAAATATATAAGACATATATAAAATAAGACATATATAAATAAGACAGCAGGCCAGGGGTGGTGGCTCATACCTGTAATGCAAGCACTTTGGGAGGCCAAGGTGAGTGGATCACCTGAGGTCGGGAATTCGAAACCAGCCTGACCAATATGGTGAAACCCCGTCTCTTCTAAAAATACAAAATTAGCCAAGTGTGGTGGTGTGTATCTATAGTCCCAGCTACTCGGAAGGCTGAGACAGGAGAATTGCTTGAACCCAGGAGGTGAAGGTTGCAATGAGCCCAGATCGTTCCACTGCACTGCAGCCTGGGTGACAGAGTGAAACTCTATCTCAAAAAAAAAAAAAAAAAAAAAAAGACAGCATCTTGCATCTCACTGTATTGCCCAGGCTGGCCTCAAACTCCTTAGCTCAAGTGATCCTCCTGCCTTAGTCTCCCAGAGTGCTAAGGCAGATCACCTGAGGTTCGGAGTTCAAAACCAACCTGACCAACATGGAGAAACCCCATCTCTACTAAAAATACATAATTACCCAGGCATGTTAGCACATGCCTGTAATCCCAGCTACTTGGGAAGCTGAGGCAGGAGAATCGCTTGAACCCGGGAGGTGGAGGCTGCAGTGAGCCCAGATCGTGCCACTGTATTCCAGCCTGGGTGACAGAGTGAGACTCCATCTCAAAACAAACAAATAAATAATAATGATTTAAAAAAGAGAACACATTGTGTTATATACATGCAATGGAATATTATTCAGCCATAAGAAAAAATGAAGTACTGATACATGCTACAAAATGGATGAACCTCAGAAACATTATACTAAGTGAAAGAAGCCATGCCCAACACCCACCTATTATGATTCTATTTATATGAAGTATCCAGAATAGGTAAATCTAGAGACAGAACCCAGATTTGTGAGTGCCAGAGGTTGGGAAGAGGGAGGAATGAAGAGCAACTGCTTACTAAGGATGAAGACTTTTTTTTCTTTTTTTTTTTTTGGAGAAAGAGTTTCGTTCTTGTTGCCCAGGCTGGAGTGCAATGGTGTGATCTCAGCTCACTGCAGCTCCACCTCCTAGGTTCAAGCCATTCTGCCTCAGCCTCCCAAGTAGCTGGGATTATGGGCATGCGCCACCATGCCCAGCTAATTTTGTATTTTTAGTAGAGACAGTGTTTCCCCACGTTGGTCATGCTGGTCTCAAACTTCCAATCTCAGGTGATCTGCTTGCCTTGGCCTCCCAAAGTGCTGGATTACAGGCATGAGCCATCATGCCCAGCCAAGGATGGAGTTTTCTTCTGGGGTCATGAAAGTGTTTTGGAACTAGAGATGGTGGTTGTACAACATTGTGAATGTAATATATACCACTGAATTGTGCAATTTCAAGTAGTTAATTCTGTTATATAAATCTCACCTCAATTTAAAAAAGTAGCCAGATGTGGTGCATGCCTACTCAGCTACTCAGGAAGTATCACTTGAGCCCAGGAGTTTGAGACCAGCCTGGGCAACCTAGCAAAACCCTATCTCAAAAAATATATATATACAAATCTTAAAAAGATAAATTGAGAGAGAAAAAGATTCTGCCTTTGTAGTTTATATTTTAGTGGGTGAGCCACATCAGACAGTAAATCAGTACACACCTAAGTAATGACATACTGTGATAATTACTTGATAGTAGGTAAGGGTATGAGAGAGCAGAGAGGCTTTGAGGTGGGAAGTAGCTTGGCAGTTTGGAAAACTGCAAGGAGACCATCGGAGCTGACGCTTAGAGAGCCATAGGCAGTGATTTAAAATGAACCCAAGGAGATAAGCAGGGGCCAGGTCCTACAGAGCCTTAAATGTCACAGGAGGGAGTGTGACATTCAATCTAAGAGCAATGGGGAGCTGGGGGAGGGTTTTAAACAAGGGATTAACAGGAACTGAGTTATATTTAATGATTTGAGCTGCTTTATTGAGACTGTCTCACTCCGTCACCCAGGCTGGAGTACAGTGGTGCGATCTCTGCTCGTTGTAATCTCTGCCTCTCAGATTCAAGTGATTCTCATGCCTTAGCCTCCAATGTAGCTGGAATTACATGCCTCGAGCATTTTTGTACTTTTAGTAGAGACAGGGTTACATATTAGAGACAAGATACAAAGATGTACAGATGAGAAGTAATTTCTAAAAAGCGCTGGAGAACTCTACTATAAAAAGGATCTGGGGTGCTATGATGCAAGGAAGGAAGCATTACTTGGTTGGGGCTGAAAAAAATAAAGCAATTATAGTAAAAAAAAAAAAAAAAATTTGATCCCAGCTTCTTGAGTGTGGTCCGAGAAGCAACAGCCCAACTGGCAGCCTGTTAGAAATGCAGAGTCCTGGGCCCTACCCCAGACCTCAAGAATCATAATCTGCATGTTTACTAAGAGCCTCAGGTGTTTTTTATGTGCTCATTAAAGTTTAAGCAGCACTGGTCTGTATCACAGCAAGGAGAACCAGACCATCAGACGGTAGGCTCCCTGGCACAGCTGAAGCATTTTCAAATACTTTGATACAGGACAGTGTATCTGAAGATACTGCATTTTTGAAAATTAAGTGCTATAAATACTGGAGAAAGACCTCTTTTTTTTAAAAACTGCGGGGAGATTTCTCATAAGCCAAATTTCTTTTGACTAGAAGCATTTTCTGGGGAGTAAAGTACCAGGCTTCTTTAAAGTGAGGCAGAGCAACGTTAAAAATGTGCGATAAGAACTCAGTCTTGGCCAAGTCGACCGTTCACCAGCTGGGTCAAGTCTGGAGTCGCCTAGGTCCCTTGGCAGTTCTGAGCCACCAGGATGAGGGTTTACAGGAAGTCGAATTGGCTGCTGTTCTGCTCCAGAGAGCAGCTGAGTCTTTTTTGTTTTTAGACAGAATTTTGCTCTTGTCGCCCAGGCTGGGGTGTGCAATGGCGCGATCTCGGCTCACCGCAACCTCCACCTCCCGGGTTCAAGCGATTCTCCTGCTTCAGCTCCCAAGTACCTGGGATTATAGGTGCCCGCCACCACGCGCGGCTAATTTTGTATTTTTAGTAGAGACAGGGTTTTTCCATGTTTGTCAGGCTGGTCTCGAACTTCTGACCTCAGGTGATCCGCCGCCTCAGCCTTCTAAAGTGCTGGGATTACAGGCGCGAGCCCGCGCTCCCGGCTCTCAGATGGGTCTTTAACGCGGAAGATGCAGAAAGGAAACTTGACAAAACTATTTTGTGAGTGTGGCCGGGGAATTCGGTGAGGGTGCTACACGGAAAAAGTAGTACCAACCGCTCATTCACTGTGAAGCCCGTAAGTGACCTTAGACCTCTAACCCCGCGCCTCACTCCGCCCTTCCGTGCGCAGCTTCCGCTCCCGCCCCTCCGGCAAAGGGCTGGCCAAGGGGTGTGGGCGGGGCTCTGAGGTCGGCGGTTAGGGGCGGTGCCCGCTGGGGGAGGGTCTCGCGAGGGGCGGGATTCGAGGAGACACTCGAGCATTGGGCACCAGGTAGAGGCGGGGTCTAGGGCTGGGCTGAGTTGGGCGGGGCAGGGAGTTCGTAGCCGCCTCTGGGTAACTTGACTCGGGCAGCCAAACCTCCAGAGGCCGGGGACGGCAGGCGGGCCCGCAGCGGATCCTGGATCCGGAATCTCCCGGGCAGGAGCGGAATCTGTCCCGAACCAGGTCTGTGAGGAACTCGCAAACTTGGATTAGGAAATCCTGGAGCCCGGATCGACAAACCCCGGCACCCGGAATTAAGATCGCCAAGTCCCGGATCACGGAGCACAGAGCGCGGAGCGGACTCTACGCGGAGCCCGGATTCCGGATCGCGGCACCGCGGGACGGGACGGAGCGATGTCGGGCCGAGGCGCGGGCGGGTTCCCGCTGCCCCCGCTGAGCCCTGGCGGCGGCGCGGTGGCCGCGGCCCTGGGAGCGCCGCCGCCTTCTGCGGGACCCGGCATGCTGCCCGGACCGGTGCTTCGGGGACCAGGGCCAGCTGGAGGCGTGGGGGGCCCCGGGGCCGCCGCCTTCCGCCCCATGGGCCCCGCGGGCCCCGCGGCGCAGTACCAGGTGAGCAGAGAGGACGCGAGCCGACGGGGGCGTGCAGCGCCGTGAGGGCGCCTGGGCGGGGGGCTGAGGGGGGCTCGAGTGAGGGCCCTGGGGAGTGCCTGAGGAACTGTGGAGGGCGGGTAGGGACCCTCAGGGTGCGGCGAGTGGCGGTGGAGGAGTGGGGAAAAGGAAGCGTGTTCCGTAGCGGAGGGCTGGAAGCAGCTGGAAGGCCTGGGGGCTTCCTCGCACAGGGATTCCGAGTGACTGGGAGATGGAGGAGTTTGGGGAGCCAGAGAATTGTGGGCAGGTGGGTTGGGAAGTTTAGGATAGGAGGGCTGGGAAGTGATGAGAAAGTTTGGGAAAGGGCCCTCGCTGAGAAACCGTGGTTACCCTGCATCGGCCTTGGTCCCACTCCAGGTCTGCCCTGTTTTTTCTGGTTAGGAACTGGCCGAGCTGAGCTCTAGCGTGTCTGAGATAGTTCCCGGCTGCTAATGAAGAGGAAGGAGCCTGGCGTCCCACAGGCACGGGACGCGGAGGCTAGGGCCAGGGATTCCAGCTTGGGCACCGGCGGACTTTACTCCTGAGGCAGGGCCTTCGCTGGCGAGGACTCCAGCTTAAACCAGAGACGGTGGTGGCCAGGCCTGAAGGGAGGCCCAGCCCAGTCACAGGCCGCCTCTCTTCTGGCCTTTCTGCCTGCTGTCATAGTGTCCAAGAGTTGATTAGTCTGGACGTGCAGAGTGGAGCCCTGCTGGTCTGGGGCGGGAGGAGTCTGCGAGAGTTGCTTCAAAGAGTGTCGTCCTGACCCCTTTGGGGTTTGAGAGCTGCTTAGGTTGCAGCTTCAAAAGCCCTTGCAAGGCAGCGACTTCTGCTCAGTGTGTGAGGACCTCAGCCTGACCCTGCCGGTCCCCAAGTCTGCTGTTCAGGTTGCCCCAGAAGGCTTAGAAACTGCCCATCTGCCTTCCCACCAGCTCTGCACTTCTATTTGGCATTCAGGTTCTAACTCGGCCACATCCCAACCCATGTGCCCCAGCATTTGACGCTGGTGTCTTCCTCATCTCCCCGGGTCTGTCGTGAGGCTTCTCTGTTTTTGACTCAGGTCTCCAGGTGGAGGTCCTTAGGGATCCTCGTGGAGTATACACAGCCCACCTGCCCCCTGAGCCTCATTTCTAAGGAGATACTTAATTAGGGACACTGACTGGATTTCTTTTTCCCCCTTACTAATTCTTCCTCCTTAAGAGAAAACAAAGGGTCTGGGTATGGGCAGAGACAGACCTGGTCCCAGAGACTCCAGCTGAGGCCCACCTTGCTCTCCGCCTGGGGATTCATGGGCCCAGGGTGTTGCTGAGGGCTCCATGCATCAGTTATTGGCACCCTCAGACCTGCTCTCTGACACCTGGCCTGGGCACCACCTGTGGGCCTTCGGCCTTGGACAGACCTGGAACAGACAAGCGGCTCCAGTTTCCTTGGCATGTAAGCCATAGGAAATGTGCCCTTCGGAAAGCCCCTGAGAGGATGGATTCCACAGTGTTTGGTGGGGGTGGCCTTGGGCCTGTAGCAAGGCCAAGCTGGCTGGCTGGTTAGGCCTGGTCTGCTAGCTGGGGGGATGTTGGAGATGGCCCTGAATCTGAGTTTCCCATCCCACTAGCTTTCCTCTTCCTCCTGGAAGGAGAGGTAGATGGGAAGGAGAACCCAGGCAGCTAACTGTGGCTGAGTTTGAAGAGGATCCTACTTGCCCTCTTTTCAAGTCCAGTTGTATGACTTCTGGGAGAAGGGACTTTAGATCTGGGGAACAAAGGGATTCCTATCTGTTAGGGCTCGTGAGATGTGCTGGAAACTCTATTTGAGGCCCAAGCTGAGCAAACAGGGGAGCCTGTTGAAAGAAGGGAAGCAATGACCTCCCTCCCTCCAGAGGGTGGCCCTAGCTGTGGATCACAGGTAACAGGAGCCTAAAAAAGAAAAAACCCTCCAGGGCTGGGTGTGGTGGCTCACACCTGTAATCCCAGCACTTTGGGGGAGGGTGGGGGCCAGACAGAAGGATTGCTTGAGACCAGGTGTTCAAGACCAGCCTAGGCAACATAGGCTGTCACCTCTTAAAAAAAATTTAGCCAAGTGTGGTGGTATGCACTTATGGTCCCAGGTACTCAGGATGCGGTAACAAGAGGATTGCTTGAGTCCAAGAGTTCAAGGCTGCATTGAGCTGTGATCCTGCCACTGCACTCCAGCCTGGGCAACAAAATAACAAAAACCACAGATTGTTGGGTTCACTCCAGAGAGTTCAAAAAGTTCAAGATACTTTTTACTCACGGGAGGGTGGCAGTAGTTTCTCCAACCGAGGCCCTCAGGCCCAGTCTCCAGGAGCATCAGGGCCACATTTTGGGCAGGTCAAAGCATACTTGCCTGAGCCCTGGATGCCTCACCTCGCGGCCACAGCATCAGACCCAGCCTCCTGCCCTGCTGCCCTTGGTGGTGGTGGTAGACTTAAGCTTAGAATATGGGCTGGTGCCAGGCCAAGGAAGAGGAGGGCGTTGCATCCTTCTGGGGTTCAGGGGATTGAGCCAGGGCTACCTGGTCCTGCTGCAGGCAGGGAGTTTGGGAGGCTCAGAGTTCTAGACTGTGTTTTTTTTTTTTTTTTTTGAAGGGGGAGGAGTTGCTGGTGCCTCAAAGCCCAGGTATGGAGCTTGGCAAGGCTCGGCTGGGACTTAAACTGTTAGCAGCCTTCCCCTGGGGCCCTGAGTGAGCTGGGGGCTCTGGGCCCGGGAAGTCTGTGGCAGATGTCTGGGTGGAGCCTATTCCAGGCCTCGCCTGTGTGGCCTTGTCTTGGGACTTCCTGTTCCCCCTAGTACCTGGCCAGGAGGGATGGGTGGTGCTGCAGGTTTTGTGAAAGCCCCAGCAGGGAGCTTCTTGGGGGTCACAGGGCTGTCGCTCACACTCTGCAGGACCCACTGCTTCGATTTTCCCTGTCTTTGTCTCGGGCACTAGGAAAAATCTCAAGTCTGGGATGTCTGCACCCTGAGCTTACAACTGTAGCCACACTTCGTTTTTTTCTGTAATCTCAGGCCAGAGAAAGAACCATCCTTAAGGCAGAGAAAGAGGCTGTCTTGCCTTTCAACAGCTCTGATTAATCTCTTCCTGATGGAGAGAGACTTTGGCAGGACTCCCAAAGCCCCAGAGCCCCCCACTTTGAGCTTTATATTCTCCCAAACACTTCCTCCCACCGTGCTCCTGCTCTCCCCATCCTCATGTCTGTAGGTCATGTTTCTTTCCATCTCCACATCTGGTCAAGAATCTGACCCTCTGTGTTGGGAACATGGGTTTGGTGTGAGATGAAGAGGCTGGGGAAAAATCTCATCTCCTTGTTGCTGGGGTGGGGGAGGGTCCTTTGATTTGGTACAAGTCTCCACCCTCCTGGGCTTGGTTGGCTGGTTGTGCTCGTTGCATAATCTGGGCCCTGGGGCCAGCCCTGTGAAGCTGCCAGGGACAGTGTGTGCGAGGCAGAGCTGCCAAACAGGCCTTGCAGGCAGCAGCCATGGGAGGGAGGGGCGGAGGTGACTCTCAGATGGGTTCCACAGAAATGTTGGGGAGCAAGGCCTCAGGTGGGAAATCCTGCAGGCATCTAAAGAAACTATTTCTGTTTCCCACTTTCCTGTTGCTCAGCCTGGGCCTCTGATCCTTGCCTCCCAGGATCATTTTAGATCCCCTTCTCTAGCTTGGGATTGCCGGGGCTGCACGGAGCTGGAGCCAGTCATGGCTGTCAGGTGGTGCCTAGACCATGGGCAGAGTCCAGGTCCCAGCTGCTGTTTCCCACAGGCTACCCAGGAGCCATAGCTTCCCTTCTGGGGTCTTCTGGCATAGGGGTGGTAGTAGGGCAGTAGGGAGGTGAAAGGAGGGTCCAGTTCTGGGCTGTGGATAGGGGCTTCATGGTGACCAGACTATCCCTGTACCCTGCCTGAGGCCACCCCCACCAGCTGGTACACATTCCAAGCCATCCTGTTGCAGCCCTGCTCACCTGGGGTGCTGCTGCCTACCCGACCCCTTTCTCCCTTGGCCACAGAGGATAGGAATTGGGGCTCTGCCCGTTGGCCTGCTCATACCATAGTACACCCACCCCTCTGCCTGGCAGTGACACTGCCCCCATGCCTCCCAACTGTGCTTCTCCCTCATGATATGGGGGAAAGAGGAGGGCAGGGCTTGGTGAGACCATCTGAGGGAATAGGGACAGGCTTGTCCCAAGGAATAGGGCACAGCATGCTGGGGCTGGAAGGTGGCAATGGGCCCTGAAAAGCTCCCCTAGGCCCTTCCTTCTGCAGGCAGGACCCTCCTCCCAGCCCAGGTTCTGGCAGGCCTCATTTGCTGGCACAGCTGCCAGGGTGGTTGCAGGGGGCAGGGCAGGTGTGGTTTACACTCTGTGCTCAGGTGCCCGCTCCTCTTTGTTCCTGGTGCTCCAGCAGGGCTCTGACTTGCTGCTCCAGCAGGCCCGACCTAGGTGACGAGAGGGATGGAGGGCATGGGCTATGGGTCCCAGAGGGCCCTGCCCCTGACCTATGCATCCCCGTTGGCTCACTTCCCCCAGCGACCTGGCATGTCACCAGGGAACCGGATGCCCATGGCTGGGTTGCAGGTGGGACCCCCTGCTGGCTCCCCATTTGGTGCTGCAGCTCCACTTCGACCTGGCATGCCACCTACCATGATGGATCCATTCCGAAAACGCCTGCTTGTGCCCCAGGTGCAGCCCCCCATGCCTGCCCAGCGCCGGGGGTAAGAGCATCCTGTTTCTCCCACTCTACCTAACTCGGCTCTGGTGGTGGTAGAGGGTTTGCTTCTATCTTAAGAGCTCTGGTGACTGAGGAACTGGGGTAGAGGGTCCTGGAGACAGGAGGGGTGTTGGGGGGCAAGTGTCCTTTTTTGGACCATTGACCTCTTAAGTGGGTTTCTGTCCTCCCCAGGTTAAAGAGGAGGAAGATGGCAGATAAGGTTCTACCTCAACGAGTAAGTGTTGAGAGGAGGCCTGGAGGCCTGCCCAGTGGCCGCCTGGGGGTGGGCATCCATCTCCCTGAACCCTGGGCTGCAGGAGGAAGGGAGGAAAGAGTCAGGCTTTGGCTGAAGCGAGCTGATGAGCTCCTGCTACCTTCCTCCAGATCCGGGAGCTTGTCCCAGAGTCTCAGGCCTACATGGATCTCTTGGCTTTTGAGCGGAAGCTGGACCAGACCATTGCTCGCAAACGAATGGAGATCCAGGAGGCCATCAAAAAGCCTCTGACGGTATGTGTGGCCCTGACCGCCTCCAGCCATCCCAGGTTTCCTTGCCCTCCATCCACTTGTTTTCCAGGGGCCAAACGAGTCAGGCTAGAGCTGGTTTTTCACATGCAGGATGCAGCCTGCTAGTAAAGCCCAAACTCTGGAATGTCTTGGGACCAGTATGTTTCAAATGAATGTATGACAGTAGAAAATCTAAAAATACTTCTCAATAGTACTAACCATAGTAGTAAAGGTATTCTTTCATGAAATTTTTGTTTCAGATAAATATGCAGACCTTGGGTCATAATTGAAAATGTAAATCTTGGCTGGGCGTGGTGGCTTAAGCCTGTAATCCCAGCACTTTGGGAGGCAGAGGCTGGTGGATCACGAGGTCAAGAGATCAAGACCATCCTGGTCAACATGGTGAAACCCCGTCTCTACTAAAAATACAAAAAATTAGCTGGGCATGGTGGCACGTGCCTGTAATCCCAACTACTCAGGAGGCTGAGGCAGGAGAATTGCCTGAACCCAGGAGGCGGAGGTTGCGGTGAGCCGAGATCGTGCCATTGCACTCCAGCCTGGGTAACAAGAGTGAAACTCCATCTCAAAAAAAAAAAGAAAATGTAAATCTTATAGGTCGTAATCAAAAGTTTGAAAACTACTAGACTAGAAGATAAAGGTAGTTCCTTTCTCCTTTCCTATCCATAGAGAAGCTTTTCTTTTTTTTTTCTTTGAGACAGAGTCTCATTCTGTTGCCCAGGCTGGAGTGCAGTGGCGCAATCTTGGCTCACTGCAACCTCCACCTCCCAGGTTCAAGCTATTCTCCTGCCTCAGCCTCCCGAGTAGCTGGGACTGTAGGCACATGCCACCACACCCAGCTAATTTTTGTATTTTTAGTAGAGACGGTTTCACTATATTGGCCAGGCTGGTCTCAAACTCTTGACCTTGCAATCTTCCCACTTTGGCCTCCCAACGTGCTGGGATTACGGTGTGAGCCACCACGCCCAGCCTCTTGTTTTCTTTTGAGACAGAGTCTCGCTCTTTTGCCCAGGTTGGCGTGCAGTGGTGCGATCTTGACTCACTGCAACCTCTGCCTCCTGGGTTCAAGCCTCCTGCCTCAGCCTCCCAAGTAGCTGGGACTACAGACATCTGTCACCACGCCTGGCTGATTTTTGTATTTTTAGTATCACCATGTTAGCCAGGCTGATCTTGAACTCCTGACCTCAGGTGATCCGCCCACCTTGGCCTCCCAAAGTGCTGGGATTACAGGCGTGAGCCACCATACCCGACCGAGAGGCTTTTCTAATAATAATCTAGAACAGTCCCCTGAGTCGTGAATGAATGCTTTCCAGGAGACTAGGATATTTTGGGGCCATGAAAGGTGTTTGAGTTTCATGTAAGGTGTGAGCCAGAGGCTGCCAATTTGCCTGGTCAGTGTGTATGTGTTCCTCTGTCACACCATAGCACCAGTCTGACTGTGCTGGCATTGTTGGTGATGCATCTCTTTCCCTGTAAAATGGTGAGTTCAGCTGGATGAACTCATGCCTGTATGGTGAGTGGCTCATGCCTGTAGTCTCGGCACTTTAGGACGCTGAAGAAGGCTGATCACCTGAGGTCAGGAGTTCAAGACCAGCCTAGCCAACATGGTGAAACACTGTCTTTACTAAAAACACAAATTAGCTGGGCATGGTGGCACCTACCTGTAGTCCCAGCTACTTGGGAGGCTGAGGCAGGAAAATGGCTTGAACCTGGGAGGCGGAGGTTGCAAGTGAGCCGAGATCATGATACCGCACTCCAGCCTGGGTGATAGTGAGACCATGTCTAAAAAAAAAGAAAAAGACTGGGACTTATTACTTCTGATTCCCAGTGCCTGACAATGTGCCTGGCTGGCTGCTGGTGCTCAGTATTGATTGTTGAATGGTTCATATGAGAAGACGGGGTAGTACTGTGTCCCAATGTCTTGGTTACCTTCAGTTGATTGCCTTTCTCTCTTTAGCAAAAGCGAAAGCTTCGGATCTACATTTCCAACACATTCAGTCCCAGCAAGGCAGAAGGCGACAGTGTAGGAACTGCAGGGACCCCTGGGGGAACCCCAGCAGGGGACAAGGTGGCTTCCTGGGAACTCCGAGTGGAAGGAAAACTGCTGGATGATGTGAGTTGGGGAGGGAGGTGTCTGGAGGGGAGGAGGCCTGTGTGGGTTTAGGACTGGGACCAAGGAGTTTGAGACTAGCTTGAGCAGCAGAGCTAGACCCCGTCTCTACAAAAAATTTAAAAATTAGTTGGGTGTGATGGCATGTGCCTGTAGTCCCTGCTACTCATATAAGTCTGACGCAGGAGGATGGCTTAAGCCCAGGAGATTGAGCTTCAGTGAGTTATGATCACGCCACTGCACTTCAGGCTGGACAGAATGAGATGGTGTCTCAGAAAAAAAGACTGGGCCAGATACTTGGGCGCTTCCAGAGAAGTCCTGCCAAAGGGAGGGGGCGCTGCACCAAGCCAGTTAAAGATTGATTTGTGTGATTATTATGATGCTCCTGCAGATGGCAGTTGTGTCTCGAGGAATTACCTCGTGGGCTGCAAGAGGGCGCCATTTCCCCGCCTCCAGTCTTTCTTCCTTCAGGGCCTGGAATTCTCAGTACCCTGAGCTGCAGGGCTGAAATGGGACTCCTCTTTTTTGGGATTTAGCACAGCTTGAGATTTGAGAGCTCAGCAGCACCTTCTCACACCCCTTTCCATCCCCAGCCTAGCAAACAGAAGAGGAAGTTTTCTTCATTCTTTAAGAGCCTGGTCATTGAGCTGGACAAGGAGCTGTATGGGCCTGACAATCACCTGGTGGAGGTAAGAGTGGGCCTGGGGCACTGAGGCAGGCTGACGTACCAATTTGGCAGGGAAATGGCGTCAGGCCCTTTGGAAGGCCCTGTGTTCACACTCACCCCCTTGGTGATAAGCCATACTTCTCTCCCTGCCAGTGGCACCGGATGCCCACCACCCAGGAGACAGATGGCTTCCAGGTAAAACGGCCTGGAGACCTCAATGTCAAGTGCACCCTCCTGCTCATGCTGGATCATCAGGTGACAGAGGCCCCGGGGTCATTTCTGGGACCACAGGGACCCCTCAGGAGAGGAGTTCGTTGCTATAAACTCTTTCTGTCCTTGCCCAATTTTCCTGCTTTTACTACAAGAACCCATCCTGACTCTCCTCCATCCAATTCCAGCCTCCCCAATACAAATTGGACCCCCGATTGGCGAGACTGCTGGGAGTGCACACACAGACGAGGGCTGCCATCATGCAGGCCCTGTGGCTTTACATCAAGCATAACCAGCTGCAGGACGGGCATGAGCGGGAGTACATCAACTGCAACCGCTATTTCCGCCAGGTTAGCCAGATGCCAGCCCCTCTGCTATCTCAACCCTTGCCTTGCCTGCTGGGCTACTCCTTGGCCACAGCCTGCAGACTGCTGCTCTCACTTGTCCTGGAATGGTCTACTCCGCTGTGCCCACAAGGCAACGATGAGCCTTTGGTATTTCCTCTAGATCTTCAGTTGTGGCCGACTCCGTTTCTCTGAGATTCCCATGAAGCTGGCGGGGTTGCTGCAGCACCCGGACCCCATTGTCATCAATCATGTCATTAGGTAAATGCAAGGAGGACAGGAAGTCTCTGCTAAGAGCAGTTTGACCGTTGGCTTGAACTAAAGCCAGAGAACAAGTTTCCTGCTCCCTAATTGTGTGTGCACAGAGACTGGGCCCCAGGTTTGGTCCAGGTGGGCAGGATGAAGACATCTATGTACCTTCCCTCCCCATGTGCTGCCTGCAGTGTGGACCCAAACGACCAGAAGAAGACAGCCTGTTACGACATTGATGTGGAGGTGGATGACCCGCTGAAGGCCCAGATGAGCAATTTTCTGGCCTCTACCACCAATCAGCAGGAGATTGCCTCCCTTGATGTCAAGGTGGGCCCTCTGCCTCTGCAGCTTCCTCTGGGGTCCAGGATAGGGGTAGGCTGGCAACTCTGGCTCAGTCCTTTGTGTTTAAGCTTTGGGGCAGTCTGACACATGTACCCCTCCCCAGATCCATGAGACCATTGAGTCCATCAACCAGCTAAAGACCCAGAGGGATTTCATGCTCAGCTTTAGCACCGACCCCCAGGACTTCATTCAGGAATGGCTCCGTTCCCAGCGCCGAGACCTCAAGGTGTAGTCCTCTTTCCCGAGGGGGACTCCTGTGTAATGCTCTGGGATTTTTACCCACAGCAGTTCAAGGGGTGGACTGGCTCAGGGGTGGGAATTGATTATGCTATGGCTTTCCTCCTGGCTCTTTGCAGATCATCACTGATGTGATTGGAAATCCTGAGGAGGAGAGACGAGCTGCTTTCTACCACCAGCCCTGGGCCCAGGAAGCAGTAGGCAGGCACATCTTTGCCAAGGTGAGGGTCTGCCCTGTTTTCTCTCCTGTGGTTGTGGGTAGCAAAGGCCTGAGCCACTTGGTCTCTCCCTTCTCCAGGTGCAGCAGCGAAGGCAGGAACTGGAACAGGTGCTAGGAATTCGCCTGACCTAACTGCTCAGGGATCTCTTCCTTTCTTCCCAGCCCTGGAGACAGACCACCCTCTGGGTCCTTGCTGGGGCCTCAGACATGTAGATTGGGGTGAGGAGTGTCTGCTGTCACCCTCTACTCCGCAGCTTTAGTTTTATAAATGTAGTGATAGGATTCCTTGTTGCTTGGTCCCCAAAGCCTTATTCTTTTTGCATTGGCTTTAATTGGGTTCAGCAGATGCCTCCTCTGCCCCGTGCAGGCAGGCCCAAGTAGGACTGCTGGAGGCTGTGCTTTGTAACAATTTTGGAACCAAAGGCTGCTGGGTTTGCATGTTTACAGACAACCCCTTGGGGTGAGGGTCAGAGCTGGCTCTGGGGAGCTGAGCCAGGAAGAGGAGGTTCAGCCCAGACTCTTCCTAGCCTTTCTAAACCAAAGTTCTTTGCCATTCCTACAAGCCCAGCCTTGCTGCTGGTTTTTTCCTTTCCTTTGGGTATTTGCACTATTTTGGGAGCAAGTTTTCTATGTGGGAGCCACTTTTTTTGTACAGGGGAAAGTTGGGGGTTTTCAGGGAGCCCTGTTTGGTGCCTCCTTGTTTTCTTTCCTCAATCTATGCAAGCGGCTCTGGCCGCCATCATCTCCTGGGATGCCAGAGGGCTGCCTCTCCAGTGGTGTGGGCCGTGGAGGGGATACTCCAGTTCTCTAGCATGGCCTGAGGTATGGGTGTGTGCATGGGGAGGCTGGGAGGATCGGTGTTACCCTTTGGAGTTTGGTGAGGAGGATGGGCCTAGGGGCTTGGCGAGTGCCACTTCTGGCAGGTTTGGAAATTTCCAAATAAATCCTTTTGTCTATTGGTGGTACCTGGTCCTTGAACAGCGCAGCCCTCATGAACAGATTGGAGTCCTAGAGGACTGGGCCTACAGAGCTTTATTGGAGGATCTACACAAAGGCTGTTCCCTTACTTCCATAATTTCTTGATGGACATGTTTTTCTCACTGTCTTTCTGCATGACCTAGGGGTGGAGAGAGAATGAACCTTAAAGTTATGAACGCACGCACACCCTAGCCCACTGCTCCAGAGCCACCACACAGTCACAAAGATGGAGGCCCGTACCTTGGCTACTGCCATCTCGAAGTCCTCCTGAGTAACGTGGACTCGCCGTTCTCGTAGGGCATACATGCCAGCTTCTGTGCACACACCCTGAACGGGAAAAGGAAGTTGAGGCCCCACTGTTGTGCCCCTCATCTGTGGCCCTTAAGCCCAGAGCTTCCTGCCTCTGCCCTGTTTTCAGAGGCAAGAAGGGTACCTCAGTTACCTTCACTTCGGCTCCTGATGCTCCTGGCATGAGCTCAGCAATTTTTCTCAGGTTGATCCCTCGAGTCAGGTTCATTTTCCGAGAATGAATCTTCAGAATGTCCAGCCGAGCCTGGAGATGGGTGAGTTTAAGGCCTGAGCCCCACAGCCCAGCCCCACAGGTAGAGCCACTTTGTGCAGTGCCCATTACAAACCTCTTCATTGGGGGGTGGAAATTCAATTTTTCTGTCAATGCGCCCTGGGCGAAGCAGCGCAGAGTCCAGGATGTCAATCCTATTAGTAGCCATGATAACCTGAGCAGAGAAAGCAGGTAGGGTCAGCTAAGCGCTTCCTCAGCCTGCATGGCACTCAGGCCTTCCCTGGGACTGTTCCAAGGCTGCTACCACCTTACCTTGATGTTTTTGGTGGCCTCAAAGCCATCCAGCTGGTTGAGCAACTCCAGCATTGTGCGCTGCACTTCACTGTCCCCTCCAGAACCCCCCTCCAGCCGTGAGGAGCCGATGGAGTCGATTTCATCCATGAAGATGATAGATGGAGCATGTTCCCGTGCCATGACAAACAGCTCCCTCACCATTCTTGCCCCTGTGTGGAGGCCAAACTGGTGTGAGGGAGCTTACTACCTCCCTAACCCCCTAACCTCTTGCTTCTCACATTCCTAGGCATGGTTACCTTCCCCAATGAATTTCTGTACCAATTCAGAGCCAGAGACACGAATAAAGGTACAGTCTGTATGATGAGCCACAGCCCGGGCCAACAGTGTCTTCCCAGTGCCTGGAGGTCCATACAGCAGCACTCCCTAAAGGGGAACAGCAAGAGTCAGGGCAGAAAGCTACCCGGCTCATTTCATTCAGTGAACATTACGGAGTGTTGGGTCCCTTGCTACAGGTTAGGGATACCAAAAAAAAAAAAAAAAAAAAAAAAATCAAGGTCCATTCTGGAGCTTATATCCAAACCACCACCCTAGAACACTTCCCCAGCCACTCTTTTCGGGGGAAAGGCCAGCCTAAGCCAGGCTGGCTAGGACAGGATTAGTAAGGTAGTAAGTACAGCTTGGCCCTCCCAGAGAAGCCCTGCTCCTCACCTTGGGCTGAGCAATGCCCAGTGCTTCGAAGAGCTCGGGATGCTTAACAGGCAGCTCGATCACTTCTTTGATCTCCTTGATCTGTTTGTCTAGTCCACCAATCATCTCATAAGTCGAATCTGGCACTTTCTCCACCATCATCAGTGATACCAATGGGTCCACCTTATTGGGCAGGATCTTGTGTAGAGTGTAGCTGTCATTTCTTAGAGCCACCCGGCAATTGGGTGTCACCTGGGTGAAGGGGGCAAGTTTCAGAAGTGGTGCAGTAAGAGCTGACCCCGCTACCCCCACCCCCTCACCTGCTACACTTACGTCATTGATGTCAATGTTTTTGTCCACATCTACAACAAATTTGCCCTCAGGATGTACCTAAAGAAACAAGGGCTGATGACATTCCAACAGCCACCAAATCACTAACCCTACCCAGGAAGACCTATGAGAATCCCACAATAACTTGATAGAACACAGAACCCTGTCTCCTGAGGCTACACACAAAGGGGTGGGAATGCAGCGGAGACTGGGCTGGTCCCTGGGTCATGCTGCTTTTACCTTGACCAACACTTTCTTCTTATCCATGGCCCGGACTACTTCCCCCACATAGGAGCCCTGCTCCTGCAGCAGCTGTAGCTCCTCCCGCAATAGGCGAACTAGATGGCAAACAGACATGGTGATCACCTAGCTACTCCTTGGGAGCTCCCAGGATCCAATTCTACATGCATGAGCTAAGTACCACTCAAGTTATTAAAGGAAGGCCAAGGGTCAAAATTCGTGTCTTTTTTTCTGAGACAGTAAAAAACTTAGCTGGGCATGGGCATGGTGGTGTGCCCAGCTAGTTTTTGTATTTTTGGTAGAGATGGGGTTTCACTATATTGGCCAGGCTGGTCTTGAACTCCAGACCTTGTAATCCACCCACCTAAGCCTCCCAAAGTGCTGGGATTACAGGCATGAGCCACCGCACCCAGCCAAAATTCTTGTCTTTAAGGAGGTTACAATGGGGCTCAGGAAAGAGATGCATGTGAAACTACTAGATGACAATGGAGAAAACAGCACTGCTGTGAAGACACAGTGCAGGGAAGTTAGGACAGAGCTCAAACTGCCCACATGCAGCTTCGCATCTTTCCTCACCTTTAGCATTTAGTTCATTCCTTTGTGCCTGCAGCCTCCGGAGGTTTTGGCTCTTATCATTCACAATCAGCTGTAATGGACAAGAGACAAATTTCATTACTCAAGGGCAGGAGACAGGAGGAGGTAGGATCTTGGTCAAGACCTCACAGGTCGGAACAAGCTGAGGGAAGGGCACACAGGGCACCTGCATGTTGTTTCAGATTCTCCAGTGTGTTTCTAATGACCCTGTCCTGTCCTCCACGAGTCCCTCTGGAGCCTAGGGCAGCCATCAAAGAAGGCTACTTGTCCAATACTGGTCCAGGAATAAGAATCTAATGGAGAAAAGTTATAGCTGGCTCATATAACACTGAATTTCTTACGAGAAGGCAACATCACCTGGTGGAAAGATCGTCAGGTGAACTCACCTGAGTTCTAGCCCAGCTACTATCAAATCAAAAGCAAGGTAAAGCTAAGGCAAGCTATTTTTAAAAATCTAGATCTGTTACCAAACGGCTCATGAGTATAGTATCAGCTGCCCCGCTGCTTTTCAGAACTACTGAGGTGAACGAATAAAAATGATAAACTAAACATAATACCTGCAAATGCACTTGGAATTCAGAATTCTTACTTGTAGCTTTCCCCCATCCAATTTATATTACAGCTGACCCCTGAACAACGCAGGAGGTGAGGGCAAAATTGAAAATCCATGGACTTGTCCCAAGTTAAACTACTAATCGCCTACTGTAACACTATAACATGACATTTAACACTAACAGCCTACTGTTTGTTGTCAGTAAGGCTTACCACACTGGAAGCTGTACCTTACTACTGGAAGCCTTACTGACAACATAAACAGTCAATTGGGGTTAGGGCGAAATTGAAAATCCATGGACTTGTCCAAAGTTAAAATACTAATAGCCCACTGTAACACTGTAACATAACACTGTAACACTAACAGCCTACTGTTTATGTTGTCCAATACTGGTTCAGGAATAACAGAATCTAATGGAGAAAAGTTACAGCTGGCTCATGTAACAGGGAATTTCTTGCAGGAAGGCAAAGTCACCTGGTGGAAAGATCTTTAGGTGAGAAGCCTGAGTTCTAGCCCAGCTGCTGTCAAATCAAAAGCAAGGTAAAGCTAAGGCAAGCCGTATTTAAAAATCTAGATCTGTTACCAAACGGCATGTGGGTATCGCATCAGCTGCCCTGCTTCTTTTCAGGATTACTGAGGTGAACAAACAAATACACATGAAAACATTCAAAAATGGTAAACTAAACATAATACCTGCAAGTATTATGCAGTAAGGCTTACTGCCTGAAGCCACACCAACTTACTCCTGGAAGCCTTACTGACAACATTAACAGTCCATAAATGGTCCTTTTTCTATGGTTAAGTGCTTTAGGTTAGAGCTCTGGGTTGCCCAGTTTCTTTCATTCAGTCTCCATGGAATGAGCATTGTTCAGAGGTCTCAATGATGCCCTTCCTCACATTCTCACTTCATCCTGACCCAACCTCTTCGTGATAAATCTCATCTCCTGAGCCTGTGTGTTCCCTTTTCTAAGGAAACACACTCGGGCTTCTTCCAAAAGGGTTGACCTTTGGCTAGAGGTATCTTTTCTGTTAAGATTTGACTCTTAAAGATGTGGAACAAACCGTGAACACTAGAACCCTCAAAGGGGTGGGACTTGAGAACAAGAGATTGCTTACTTCCAACATACACACCCCACTAAGAAACAAACAAGAAAGAAGCAGCAGCAGCTTCTTCCACTGCACTCCCAGAGGAATTAGATTTGTGGAAGTCAGCAGCCATCCCTCCCAACCCCTCTCCTAGCTCCCGCTGGAGTCTGTCCTCACCTGGAGTTCTTCAATCTTGGACAGATAATATTGGCGGAGACCGCTGCCTGCCTTCCCCTCCTCCAGCTCCATCTGAAGACACAGAGTGAGTCTTAAACGACAGGCTAAACGTCCGAGGGGGTAAAGCCACTTGCAGGGCACTTTGAATTAGTCTTGACACCAGGCAGCTTTGCGTAGTAAAAAAGTTTGTACTTCCGAGGCTCGGGATCTGGGTTCTAATCCCTCCCTCTCTTGGAACCCTCCATTTTCTCATGATTAAAATAAAATGGGAACGCCGCCTACCTCGCAAGACTTTTAGGAGGACCGAGGGGCGATATATACACGGGAGCTCTTTGCACTGCGTCAAGCGCGCTACAAGCCCGAGTGGTCATTACTGCCGACGGAGCCAGCGAAACGGAGCCGAAGGACTGGCGTCCGATCTCCTGCGATCCGCGGGCCGGCTGTTCCCGCGCCCATTGCTCCCCTTACTCACTCCACTTCTACCGTGTCTCCTCTTCCAGCCTTGCCCTGACTCACCGAGGGCGGCGCTGACACAGCAGATCCGGTCGCAGGCAGCATCCAGCCTGGACTGGTCCAGCCACCTCCTACCCACCCGACTCTCCTGCGCCGGCCCGCTCTCCACTCAGATGACACCCGCTCCTCACACAGCCCCATAACCCGCCGGGCCGCCACTGCAGCCGCCATACCTGCTCTGGCCCGTCAAGCGCCATCTTCCCTTTTCAGCAGAGACAGCCGGCATCCGATCCGTCTTGGAGCGCAGGCGCGGAAGACAAGGCTTGAGACCTGACGACTAGGCAGACAAAAGTTCCGGGTCAGTGGGCGGAGTGTGCGGCGAGTCCGCACTAACTAAGGGTACCATGATGGGAGGGGCGGCTACTCGAGTTCATGGGCTTTGGAAAAGGAAGAAGAGGGAGTAGCATGCCTCAGTGTTCCCGCATAGAAACTATGTTTATGTGCTGTAATATGCCTCCCTGGTCCCAACTTTCAACTTACAAAACCCGAGGACAGAGTATCGAGAAAAAAAAAAAAAAAAAAAATCTATGGCCACACGCAAAATGGCGGAAAACCTTGAGCCAGGGACGCAGGGACGCAAACGGAAGCGGAAGTACGTTTGCTGCCTACTTGTGCAGTTTCAAGCGGCGCTGGGTCTAGGTGGAGTGTGTGGAACCCGGCGCGAGGTGGAATTGCTGCGGAAAGTGGGAAACTGGAAGTAGAATCTGGTGCTCCGGAAAGACACGTTCCCAACTTCTACTTTCTCCTCAGATTGAGCGCTACTCCTCCATTCCACCATGGGCAAGAAGGGCAAAGTTGGCAAGAGCCGACGGGACAAGTTTTATCACTTGGCGAAGGAGACGGGTGAGTCTGGATTCGGATTCGCTCCGTCTGCGAGCGAGCGAGCGAGCGATCTCTTCCCGGTTCGCTTCCAGTTTCCGACCATTGGGTTCCTCTCCTGCAGAACGGGTGGTGGTCTGCGAGGCCGGAGAAATCCTGCTGGTGAAGCCCTCTATGCACTTGGTTGTTTTGTCCAGGTTACCGTTCCCGATCTGCTTTCAAGCTGATCCAGCTCAATCGCCGCTTTCAGTTCCTGCAGAAAGCCCGAGCCTTGCTGGATCTGTGTGCTGCGCCAGGGGGGTGGTACGTAACACTTGCCACAAGTGGCAGCTTTCTGGGTTCAGAGCCGGGATGGATTCCAGTTTCGTTGCGGGAGGACGGGATTCGGGATTCCCCTCCCGCAATACAGTAATTCCAGCCTCATATTTATCTACAGCCCAGAGCATAGGTCCCTCCTAAACCTTGGGGGACCGTTTCCTTTCTTGATTGCAGAGAAAAGGCTTGGAATACGTACCTGTGGCATGCTCTGGCCAGTGCATGTAACACCAGGAATGAGAGGTCAGTTGCCAAGAGAGGGAAAGGGTTGGCTCTAGGTTTTAAATCTCTATTCCTTTTATAGGCTGCAGGTAGCTGCCAAGTTTATGCCTGTATCCAGCCTTATTGTGGGTGAGTGAGGACAGCTCTCCTTCGTGTTTTAAGGGATGGGTGTATGAGGTACTTTGTCATGTATTTCTCTCCTCCCTGTTTGAGGCAAAAGTATTCCTTTAAATACTCTGACCTGATTTCTTCCAGGAGTGGACCTGGTTCCAATCAAGCCTCTCCCCAATGTGGTGACTCTGCAGGAGGATATCACAACTGAACGCTGTAGGCAGGTAACAGGAGTCTCTCTCTTCCTTTCCCGTTTATACTCAAACATCCACATCCCCAAAATCCTCTAGAAGCAAGTTTAGAGGATGTTCCATGTTTTGAGCACGTTCCCGCCTGACATCTGTATGACAAGACCCATGGTTTCCATAGTGTCCACTCCAGCATTTATTTAGAGTCAGGGATGAAGGTGCTTGGAATCGGGATAAGGACAGAGATCTTTAGTGAAGTCTTTTCTTATGAACTCACTGTTAGACTCTACACTCCATGAAGGTAGCAACGTAATATTTTTGTTTAATGTTATCTTCTGTGCCTGGAACAGCATTTGGCCCATGATAGGCACTCAACAAATGACTGGATGGACAAATGGCTGAATTAGGCCTATTACTGTGTCTCTGTTTCCATAGTTCTTTTTATTCTCTTTAGGCCTTGAGGAAGGAGCTGAAGACCTGGAAGGTTGATGTTGTGCTAAATGATGGGGCCCCCAACATTGGGGCTAGCTGGGTCCATGATGCTTACTCACAAGGTACAAGGAGTGTGGCACTTGGAGATCAGGTGATGGTGGAGGTGGGCGCATGCCCTCTTGGGCTGCAGAATGCCTCAGCTGTCTCTATCCTACAGCCCATTTGACACTGATGGCTCTGCGTTTGGCTTGTGACTTTTTGGCCCGTGGTGGCTGCTTCATCACAAAGGTTTTCCGTTCCCGTGACTATCAGCCTCTGCTATGGATCTTTCAGCAGCTGTTCCGCCGTGTCCAGGCCACCAAGCCCCAAGCGTCTCGCCATGAATCTGCAGAGATCTTTGTGGTCTGCCAAGGTGGGCATCACTTCCTTTCTTTTGGTCCAGCCTTCCTACTCCCAAAGCATAATTTTTAACATATCCTGTCATTTTTAGGATTCCTGGCCCCAGTCAAGGTTGACAGTAAATTCTTTGACCCCAAATTCGCCTTCAAGGAGGTAGAAGTTCAGGCTAAGACTGTTACTGAATTGGTGACTAAGAAGAAGCCAAAGGTGTGTTTTGGGGAGTGGGGTCACCGTTGGGTCCTGGAACTCTGGGGAAGTTGGGCCTCATACCCTAGAAGGGACTGCCCAACCTTCTCTATTTTTCTCCCTAAGGCCGAAGGCTATGCTGAGGGTGACCTCACTCTCTATCACCGTACCTCAGTCACTGACTTCCTCCGAGCTGCCAACCCTGTTGACTTCCTCTCCAAGGCCAGCGAAGTGAGTCTCCAGCCTTGAGGGACATGAGGTAACCCTGGAAACATGGCCTGAGAATCTCCTTTCCCTCCTCCCAAACAGATCATGATAGATGATGAAGAGTTGGTACAGCATCCAGCCACCACTGAGGATATACAGGTGTGCTGTCAGGACATCAGAGTATTAGGGCGCAAGGAACTCAGGTATGCAGTAGGGTGGGCATGGGGGCCAGGAGCCCTGGAGGCAGGGAAAGGCCATGATGTTGGATCTCTGGGAAGGGGATGTTGCTGTGCTAAAGGTTTGGGGTGGGGGCCTGAGCCTTTTGATTTATATAGCCAAAGCCTGAAATTTGGTTAGTGAGCCTAAAACAGAAGTGGGCAGGAACAAAGAGGGAGATGGCAAGACCAGTAATATTATTTCTGGGGCAGGTCGCTACTAAACTGGAGAACAAAACTTCGGCGATATGTGGCCAAGAAGCTGAAAGAACAAGCAGAGGCACTGGACATCAGGTGAGGAGGGAACTCAGCCAGGCGGGTGTTAAGGGAAAGTCGGGAAAATAACCTAACTCCTTGGACTGTTTTGCCAGCCTCAGCTCTGGAGAGGAAGATGAAGGTGATGAGAAGGACTCAATAGCTGGGACCACAGTGCAGCCCTCTGAGGAGGAGGAGGAGGAACAACTGAACCATACCCTGGCCAAAATAAAGGCCCAGGAGGTGGCAGAATTAAAGAGGTGAGAGGAGCTGGGGTGAAGCATGGAGTCTCCCAACGCAGGGATCCTCCATGTGACAATGGGAGAAGAAAATGCAAGGCATGGATAGAAACTCTTCAGAGCTGGGCACATTTACTCCCTCAATCCACCCCCTCAGGAAGAAAAAGAAGCTGTTGCGTGAGCAGAGAAAGCAGCGGGAGCGTGTGGAGCTGAAGATGGATCTGCCTGGGGTTTCCATCGCAGATGAGGGGGAGACTGGCATGTTCTCCCTGCGCACCATCCGGGGCCATCAGGTGAGGCAACATTGGGGTTGCAGGTTTAGGAGACAGAAGATCCATGTGGGAGTTTGGAGGTGGGGGGTGTTGAATGTCTTTTTTAGTTCCTGAACAATGGGCTGTGGTTGCTGTCTTCACCACAAGATGCCTTGGTGAGTCTAAGGCCACAAGCAAACCTTAAAGGATGAAGTTAGGAAGACAGATGGGTGTACTACATTTATTGTTGTAGAACTAGAACATCAGAAAAGAACTTAGGTTATAGTTGATGCAGCCAGGTTACTTGAGTTACAAACAGATGAATAGAGGGTCTCCATCAGAGGGGAGCAGCATTCTTGAGTTCACTGAGACCAAGTGAGCACGTGCATTAGACTTCTTCCACTGAATACTGAAGAACATGTTTTTCCTGACAAAATCAGGGTCACAGGCAAAATGAACTTTTGTGGCTTTTGTGAGGGAGTGTCATAATCAGGTCATCTTTGTTGTGTAGGAGGCAGTAGAGCATGGTGGGCCTAGAGCAGACACAGGCTCAGATTTCCTTCCCAGCTCTACCACCTGGAGCTGTGTGAAGTGACTGAACTATCATTTATCCTTGCTGCTTCAGTTTCCTCATCTGTAAAACAATAATAGAACCTACCTACTAGAGTTCTTATGAGGAATAAAGATGGTCAGTTGTAATCCCTCCTATGTGATAAACACTCAAGAAACAGTAGTTGGGGTCTTTTTATTTAGACAGGGCCTTGCTTTGTCACCCAGGCTGGAGTGCAGTGGTGCCATTATGACTCACTGTACCCTCAAACTCCTTGCATCAAGCAATCCTCCTGCCTCAGCCTCCCAAAGCGCTGGGATTACAGGTGTGAGCCACCATACCCAGCCTACTATCTTTGCCATGAGGAAAATAAAAAGTTCTGACAGTTGGTTTAAGTGGAATAGTTTGGTTGAATGTTTTTTGGCTGGGCCCCTTTTATTTAGTGGAAACAAATTGTGTAGATGGTCTTCTCAGGAGGTGACTGAGATGCCATCTGAGAGTAATTTTTAAAAGAAAACCAACGTTGTAGAATATGTTAAGATTTGGTGCTAGGGTACTTTTCCTTAAGACCTATTTGTGCTACCACTGAGACAAGACAGCTGAGTGGGAGAGACCAGTAACCCAGCCTAGAACAGGGTGTTGTAAACAGGCCATTCACTACCCTGGGTGTGAGCTTTCCCGTCTGCGAAAGGAGATAATGGATTTGCCAGTGTTCTTTCTTGCATTGCTGAGCATAGACTGAGGTGAGGGATGCAGAAAAAAACAGTATGTTTTCTTTACCTCTTTGTTTGTTACACTTCAGTTATTAGAGGAAGTAACACAAGGGGACATGAGTGCAGCAGACACATTTCTATCCAATCTGCCAAGGGATGACATCTGTGTGTCAGATGTTGAGGACGATAGTGATGACACATCTCTGGATAGTGACCTGGATCCAGAGGAGCTGGCAGGAGTCAGGGAACATCGGTGTCTAAGGGACAGAAAGTGGTAAGGGGCACGTGTGTGTGCCAGAGGGAATGCTGCCACTCTGAGGCAGCACTGGGTGGGTACTGCCAGAGCCCAAGTAAGGGAGCAAGGGCTCCAGGCACTCTGGGTCCCTGAGCCCTCTCCTACTTTCCTTTGGATCTACAGTGTGCGATTTGCTGAAGCGGAAGATGATCAAGAGGAGGAAAATGAGAATCCACTGCTGGTACCACTGGAGGAAAAGGCAGTACTGCAGGAAGAACAAGCCAACCTGTGGTTCTCAAAGGTATGAAGAGGCTGGAGGCAAGACTGATGGGAGGTCAGCCTTCCCTGGGAGAAGGTCAGCTGACATTCTCCCATCACAGGGCAGCTTTGCTGGGATTGAGGACGATGCCGACGAGGCCCTGGAGATCAGCCAGGCCCAGCTGTTGTTCGAGAGCCGGCGGAAGGGACAGCAGCAGCCACAGCCACTGACACCGCCTTCCAGTTTGAAGACTGAGAGAATGTCTCCCCTGTGCCAGGATGAAACCCCTAAGGGAACAGAGGCTTCTTCAGGAACAGAAGCTGCCACTAGCCCTGAAGGGGAAGAAAAGGATGGCAGCTCAGATAGTGATAGCAGTAGTAGCAGTGAGGATGAAGAGAGGTGAGTGGTTGCAGCTGATAAGAGAAGTGATAGGAAGCAGTGGCTTGAACCATTTCTCTGAATTGGGGGTTCTCAATCTTAGCTCCAGATGGGGAGAGTTAAAAATACTATACTGATGATCCTGATTCAACTGGTCTGGGCTACAGTCTGGGTGGCAGGATTTTTGTAAATTCTGTGGGAGTATGGTCTGAGTAGTAGGGAGAGTGGTGGCATCACTCAGAGTCCTCCCCTCTTCACAGCTGGGAACCTCTCCGTGGTAAGAGAAGCCATGGGCGTAAGTCAAATGATGGTGGGTTTGAGATCGTGCCGATTGAGGACCCAGGTGAGTATACCGTGGACCCATTCTGTATACCGTGGAATGAGAGGAGACCACTGAAGTCTCAGTATTGGGAATAGAGCTTTGATCTTTCTCCTTCCCTCTTTAGTGAAACATCGGATACTGGACCCTGAAGGACTTGCTCTAGGTGCTGTTATTGCCTCTTCCAAAAAGGCCAAGAGAGAACTCATAGATAACTCCTTCAACAGGTAAAGAGGCCAGAAACTCATCAAGAGTGACCCAGGGTCTGGTGTGTAAATGGGTAGTTTCTTTTTTCTGAGACAGTCTCACTCTGTCGCCCAGGCTGGAGTGCCATGGCGCCATCTCAGCTCACTGCAACCTCTGCCTCCCAGTTCAAGTGATTCTCCTGCCTCAGCCTCCCAAGTAGCTGGGACTACAGGCGCTCACCACCATGCACGGCTAATTTTTTGTATTTTTAGTAGAGACAGGGTTTCACCATGTTGGCCAGGCTGATCTTGAACCCCTGACCTCAGGTGATCCACCCACCTCGGCTTTCCAAAGTGCTGAGATTACAGGCTCACGCCCAGTTGGGTAATGTCTTTAGAAAGCCTAGAGTGTTGGTTATTGGGCTGATGTCCTTTCCCCCTCAGGTACACATTTAATGAGGATGAGGGGGAGCTTCCAGAGTGGTTTGTGCAAGAGGAAAAGCAGCACCGGATACGACAGTTGCCTGTTGGTAAGAAGGAAGTGGAGCACTACCGGAAACGCTGGCGGGAAATCAACGCACGCCCCATCAAGAAAGTTGCCGAAGCTAAGGCTAGAAAGAAAAGGAGGGTAAGTGATGGGCCACCAGAAATTGGAGGGGCTGGGGATAGGGAAGAGGTCACCTGACTGAGATCCCTTTGTAGATGCTGAAGAAGCTGGAGCAGACCAGGAAAAAGGCAGAAGCTGTAGTAAACACAGTGGACATCTCCGAACGAGAGAAAGTGGCACAGCTGCGAAGGTAACGGGAGGATACCACAAAGGTACACAGGGCTAAAAATGCAATAGAAAGTAAGCTTCTAACCTTTTTTCTTCCCTCTGTAGTCTCTACAAGAAGGCCGGGCTTGGCAAGGAGAAATGCCATGTCACCTATGTTGTAGCCAAAAAAGGTGTAGGCCGCAAAGTGCGCCGGCCAGCTGGAGTCAGAGGTCATTTCAAGGTGGTGGACTCAAGGATGAAGAAAGACCAAAGAGCACAGCAACGTAAGGAACAAAAGAAAAAACACAAACGGAAGTGAGCAGAGCTGCCAGGCTCCCAGGAGATGGGGACTAGGAGGAAGAGTGTGGCATGGCTCAGTCTGGCCCCCTTGATACACATCACGCTCACATCACAGCTGTCTGAAGAACAGTGAGGCAGGGTGCCTAGAACTCCCATGGTGGTCCTGAGCAGAGGATGTCCTCCTGCCTGCCTGAAGGGAGGTCTCCCATGAAAGCACTGAACTGTATTGACAGACCCATGACCCGTTTTATAAACCATTAAAGGGAAGTTCAGTGTTGGAGCAATACTCAGTGGGCCAGGACTCTTAAGCCTGGAGCCACACTCAATGTAGTGTAGTCCATTCTTGGACATGTGGGCCTCTTAAGCATTCCCCCATTCTATTCCTGAATAAAACCAGGATGATGGAAGAGATGTCTCTCCTGACAGTTTAATAAGCACTTCCCTACATCTGAATACACATGTGTGCAGCACTATTCTAAGTCCCAGTTTAAGATGTACCAATTCAGTGAGACAGAAATGACAAACAATCCACAGGTCCCGATAGTGAAACATTTACTAGAGAGCAAGCAGAAAGGAATGCACAGCTTAAAGAAACCTTCACAAAGTCACAAAAGTCAAAGTTTGTATATTTCTTTTCCTTTTATAAACAAGATAGAACAAAAATCATCAATCATCTCGGCAAAAGACTTTCCTACCATTGGGGCAAGTTAAAAAAAATACAGTGAAATAGAAGACACTTTAAAAGCTGTTGTTGCATTAATTTTAAATTTAGCAACACCACCTCAGACCTGGAGCAATCCTAGAACAGTTACCAGGATCACTTTTTCCCTTCAATCTCTGTGACTACTGGGAGAGCCTGGGTCTGGAAGGTGCTTCCTACATGTCTCAGGGCTGGATGCAAACCTGGCTGGGGACCCGAGCATCAATTCCTGTTTAGAATCAAACATCTCCCTTCCCCACAAATGTCTAAACCTACCAAACTGCTTCCCAACAATTCAATGGATTAGATTTACAGAAGCCAATTCCTAAAAACGGGATTGCTGGGCCACACAACTAAGAAAAAGAATTCGATATATAGATGTTTATAAGGTGACACCTTAGTAAAAAATACAGGCTACGTATAATATAAACCTAGAGCGAGTTTTGTGCCCTATAAGGCCCTTTCTCCCAAGGTAACCTCAACTTACCCTCATGACAACTCACCTAGAACCAAAAGAAGTTTCCCAGCTCTCACTGCTTCCAAGGACCAAAGCAGCTTCCCAAGAAAACATCCGAAAATTCCTTCTGATGAAGGGGTAATGTCTCCAAGCTCCAGCTTTCCACTAAGGGCAGGGGGTCCTTACCCTTTGGACCCCAACCCAGCCCTGAGACATACCTAGTTACCGAAATCTTTCTAAAAATTAAGGACAGCTGATTTCACGCTTTAGCACATCCCCTCTAACTGTCCCATCGACTTTTCTTGCGTTTAGGTGGCTCTGGGACAGCAAAGCCATCAGCTGTCTTATCTGTCTTGCTGTCTGCTTTGTCCATCTTGCTGCTGTCCACCTTGGGCTCCATTTTGCTCTCACGATTACAAGCTTCTTTCTTGCTTTCCCCATTCCGACCATCATTTGCACCCCGGTTCTCCCCATGCCGGCCTGTGCTTCCTCCATGCCTGTTCTCCCCATGCCGATGGCCATCAGTATGACGACTGCTGCTTTCTGGGTGGCGGTTTCCATCTCCATGGCGACCACCATCTCCGTGACGTGGGCTGTCGCCATGCCGATTGCCAGTCTCTCCGTGACTGTGACGGCTGCTGCCCCGGTTCTCAGTATATCTCTCTCTTTTCCCGTTGCCACCCCCGGTCCCTTCTCGGCTGTTATTCCCTGAAGCTGTGTTGTTGACTCCCTGGGCTCCGGCAGATGGGTAGGTCACAGGGGCACCACTGATGTTGCCACTATTGCCAAAGCCTGGGATGCTCTTGGTGGCACTGGTGACGGGGCTGTCAGGGCTGTTATGGCCCTGTTGTGCTGAGTTAGTAGGAACAGAATTCAAGCTCCCTGCACTAGTCCACCCACTTGCCCCAGCAGCAGAGCTTCCAGCCTTCTGATTACTTAAACTGGCTGCAACAAAGTGACTCTTGTACTGTGACTGAAAGAGAAAGAGACATCAGGAGTAGGTAAGATAGCAAGTTCCAGAAACGAATATACAACTTGGCAAATGATGAGGTTTAGAGAAACTATAACTATGCTATCTTGGCACTGTGACTTTAGTGTCCTGATGTCCCCACAGCATGGTCCCTTTTGTTCTTGTGCTAAAAATGAAAACTTGTGGATCTCTGTGGAGAGGTGGAACCCCAGTGTTCTGAAATGTACTTTTATAGCCTGATTGACTAGAATAAAGCATCTATGATTTACCACATTTTTGGCTTACAATCTGTTATTTACCATTCAAAATCAAAAAAGTTCTGAAAACTTAAAATTTTACACAAAAGTCTAAATTTAAGTTTGACAGCCAAATCTGCCTTGAACTCATTCTATCGATTCACCTTAGTGTGACTATCAGTACATTTTGCTTCAGAAGTGAGCGCCTTGGAGGTGGGCAACACCACAGGCTGCTGGGAAGAGAGGGAACACACATTCTGCTGCAGAACGACAATCCCAGGCTCTGAGTGGGACTCAAGTAGACCAGCACAAGGGGTTCTCTAGATCAACTTGCATCTCCAAGTAAGCTACTGTTAAGTTTATATTAAAAATCCAAGCAGTGTAAAGACCCTAAATCTAGCAACAAGCCTACAAACCCAGCTACAACCAGGAAAACTAGGCCCTTTTGTCACTGCCCAAAAGTTACTACTGAAAGCGCGTTTAATGAAATGCTTATTTCAGACCTGGAAAGCTGCTTTCATTGCTGTTAGTCGATCTCCCATAGCTCCTGTGGAAGGCTTGTAGGCCTCATAATTGCTCATTACATTGTTATTTCCTCGGTCCTAAAAAGATAAGCATATCTATGAGGATGGACAAATAAGCAGGAAAGAGCTCACTGTCATAGATGGGGCCTCATTATAATGAAAACCTTGAAGCAGGAGCTACAATGAAACTGGGTACTTTTAGAAAGCTACTTATGCTTTCTGAAAAAAAGACACAGTGACAATCATTTAAAAATGTTTATGTCCTCAACCCAGAAATTCTAAGAATTAATGCTGTTAATCAGATATGCAATCAGATTATGCCCAAAGTTGACCATGTATTAATTACATACACACATCCAATTATGCAAAAATTACGTTAAAGATAAAAAGGCCACCTGTATAGCATATTGTATGACTGCTCAGGCCCTGAATCAAGACCATGGAGGGACTGAATTTCAGCTTCAACACTTGCCAGTGTAACCTTAGGTGCCTCAGTGTTGTTACCTGTACTAACTTCCATTTGGTTGTTGTGAAGATTAACTGAGCTAAAATATCGGATTGATTGGAATGGTCTTGGCACGTAAAAAATGCTCAATAAACATTAGCTATTATGCATAATCATTATTATTACTATAATGTGGGAATCAAAGATGCCAAGCTTTAACTATAATGCTCCAGAAAAGCATACTGGCAGCTTTCTTCCCTGGCTTAGAAGTCAAAGTGACAGAAAACAGGTAGTTAAGAAAGGCTACCCAAAGGGTACTTATGTTATGGATTGTGAGAAAAACTAGCTCCCAACTAGGAAATTCCTGACCCATGCCTGAGTTTACTGACAAGATATGGCTAAACTTTACATTGACCCTATGGCAATATTTCCCCAGCAGCAGGCTTTAGGCCAGGGTTGAAGGGCTTGTAAAAGCAGACCGCTGGGCCCCACCTCCAGAGTTTCCGATTTGCAAGGTCTGGGGTTGGGGATGAATTTGTATGTGCTGCTGGTCTAGGGACCACAATGTGAGATCACTCTAATCTAGAATAATTTCCTGAGCAAGCCTCGTCAGCCAAGTACACAAAAAATGCTTCCTCAATAGAAAGTTAAAGCTCCATTGACTCAAATCAGATTAAATACAAATTTCCTTCTAGACACGGTTTTGAACTCACTCTTGGGTAGATGAGAATATTCCTAATGACATTCAGGACATGGGCCAACCCTAAAGGTACTACTATAGTCTGGACTCACCATGTTCTCAGAGCCCAGGCCAGGCCGCTCCCTATAACCTAGGCCTCCTCCACCAATGTTCAGCTTTTTTCCTTTCCCTCCTTTGAAGCGAGATTTCCGAAACCAGGCATTCTGCATTGAACAAAATTCAAGGTTAAGTCAGGGAGGGAGAAATGACCAAAGGAAGAGGACAAGGGCAAAGAAATTAGGTGGGAAGGGAGAACTTTTTGCTTAATTTTCAGCCTGCACATTTACACTAAGGGAGGAACTGTTCACAGGAACCACAGATTGGCTTCTCTTTGGTAACATAATCCACCAAATTTGAAAAGCAGCTGAGATCTTTATCTAAGGCTTCCTATAGTGCTCCCTACCTCAGGGTCTCCTGGAAAGGAAGTTGTTCAGATAAGTTTCAAACGCGGAAGAGTCACTTTGGCTACTATAACTTCCTTGAAGAAAATGGAGTTACTTTTCATTTCTCAAACCACCTATCCATACTATTGGACATAAACATTTGTAGCTTAAAGAACTGGTATGTTCAGAAGCAAAGGAAAAATGCTATGTGAAGTGAGGCTTATCAGAATTAACTATAGGAACAGACTCCTGGAAAGGATAGTAGCCACACAACTGAAAATTTTATTTACCCGCAAAACTTGACGAATGCCAGAATACTACTCACCATATTTATTCATATTCTCTTAAGAATGCAGGGCGGTGGCTCACGTCTGTAATCCCACCACTTTGGGAGGCCAAGGTGGATGGATCACTTGAGGCCAGGAGTCAACACCAACCTGACCAACATGGTGAAACCCTGTCCCTACTAAAACTACAAAAATTAGCCAGGCGTGGTGGCACATGCCTGTAATCCCAGCTACCTGGGAGGCTGAGGTGGGAGAACTGCTTGAACTGGGGAGTCAGAGGTTGTAGGAAGCTGAGACTGCGCCACTGCACTACAGCCTGGGTGAGAGTGAGACTCCATCTCAAAAAAAAAGAAAAAAGTAAACATCTCTGGGGAGGTTAAAGCTTTATCCCACAATCACATATTACCAGCAAAATAAAGTACTTGAGAGGTAGGGCAGCAGGCCTGGCTGGGCAAAGTCCTGAGCACAGAAAGGCTGAGGCACAAAAAGAGATAGAAGAAAATGCCAAAGACAAAATGTAAAATGTGTCTCATTTAAAAGGTTATTTAGGACTGACACTCTGTGCTCAGGAGCAGGGGAGGAAACATTCTATTCTCTCTCTTGCAGCGCAGGTCCGTTACTCCTAGGACCAGAAACTCAGACACTGCCACGTTGCAGCTGTGATGTACCAGTTGTGTGAGCTGGCCTAGGCATTTGACAAACTCTTGAACAGTTTCTGCTCTCAGTGTTTTGAACACATTTGTAATTTAGGGACAGCATGGATTCAGATGACTCTAAGTTTGATTTGCTAGAATGCCTCACTCAGCTTTAGACTGAAGCACACCTGGAAGAAGGCAACCAGTGTGGTCAGAGGTCTGAGATCTCAGGCTGCAAAGAATAGTTAAGAGGTACTATATATCTATTGCTTTAAAGACACTACACATTCCCCTCCCTCACCAAAAGAAAAGCTTTGTGAGGGAAGAGCAGTAGAGAGAATAGTAACCATCTTTCAGATTAAATTTACTCCTAATGTGCTATGGGTAGAAATTAAAGAGAGAGATTTCAGCACAAAGGAAGGAAGAGCTTTTCAACAACACAGATGTTGTTGAAAGAGTGCTAACACCAGATGAATTTTAATATCTCACAATTCCTATCTGTACCTCATAAATCCCACATCCTCCCTGCCAGCCAACTTTCTTGTCAAGTTTTTATGTTATGTGCTCCAGGACTGCTAAAATGTTTTGGTTAAACCAGGAGCAATCTAAAGTGAACCCAGCTCCTCACCTGCATTGCCAGATCTAAGAGTTCCTTGGAAACATGTTGATTGGCACCTTCCAAGTTCCGGACCAGGTCACCAGCAAAATTGCTGTCCTTGGGAGTGAGTAGGGTATAGGCCACACCTTTCTCACCCGCTCTTCCTGTGCGGCCAATCCTGTGAGTGTGGGTATCAATGTCTCGTGCCACATCATAGTTAATGACAGTCTTAATTGAAGGAATGTCCAGACCACGGGCTGAAATAAAAAGCAACTGAATTCTTTTATTCTTCATCTGTAGTCAAAAGATAAAAGTAAACAGAAATGCTAGTGCTCTAAGAAGTCACATTTCCCTTATCTAGGCAAAGTGCATGGGGAGTTTGGTGAGCTGATATACAGGCATGTTAAGTCACCACTCAACAACAAATGTCACCACCACAGATTCTATGATGCTAGGCCTTCTAGTGTAAGGGACTTTTGCATCAATAATCTGGCATGCCCTCTTCTCTTGCACTGGGAATGTATTTTTAAAATGTGTCTTGAAGCTGAGTTCTCTCTCCTTTCTGTGAAAAATTACCAATGTTTAAGGGTAGTTATTAAAACTTGGCAGTACAAAGTCAGAAATCATATTCCAAAAACTCTTCTCATCCTGAGTGAAGTATGCCCAACTAAGCAGTAGATAGTAGATATCAATGTAAGATATCTACTATATTCAGACATACAATAGGGCATTCATTGCCTTTTTTCCCCAAGTGACTTCTAGCTGCAGGGATTCTTTGGTCAGAGAGAAACACTAAGCAAAAAGTGGCATCCAGAGCTCCAGACTGTGATCCCTGTGCTGAACTGCTGCTTCCTTGGGGATTAGGGGTGGGGGTGGTCAGTCAGGCCAATTAGTCTTTCCATCAGACTGCTCAGACATTACAGGTCTTATATAATAAGACAGAGTACCCTTATAGCCTAGGAACTTAAGGTTGCTGAGAAATTCATACTCTACCTGCAACATCTGTGGCCACCAGGACTGGGATGTCCTTTTTCTTAAAGTCTGAAATGACCTTATTTCTCTCACTCTGATCCATGTCCCCATGGAGCAGCCCAAGATTATGACCCTCCTGTTTAAGGTTATTGGCTAGCTCTTCAGCATTGGCCTTCTTAGTAACAAAGAGGAGGACACTCCCTGAAGAGGTAAACTCCACCAGACGCCGGGTAAGCCAGTTCCATTTACTAGGTCCAGAATGGAGAATCTCCACAATCTGTGTCACATCTTCATTTGCCTAAGAAGGAAGAAATGAAATAGATGATTGTGACATTGGAGCCACAGGCCACCACCTCAACAAGGCTAGACATTCTATCTTCTACCTGCAGCAAGAAGATCTAGAACCATCCCAGTTCTCCTTGGGCGTTCCTTCGGCAAGTCAAGCGCAGCTCAA